TTGTACATCAAATATTGTATCACTATTACTTATAAATAATATACTAAAATCCTGTTCTTTTGAGCTTCTAGGAGCATATCAGGAGTCAGCAGAGTAGAGTAAATCTCAGCAGAGCAGAGTAGAGCAAAGCTGAGTAGATTTTATTAATAATAATGATACTATTATTATATTATTATAATCTTTAAATATTAGTTATTATTATTATTAGATTTATTAAATATTAATTATTATTAATATTAATTATTAATATTATTATTATCAACATTATTAATACATTTATTAATATTATTAAATATTAACTATTACTATTATAAATTATTATTATTATTATTATATATTAATTATTGTTATTATATTTAAATATTAGTTATTATCTCAAATATTAAAATTTATTATTATATTAAATATTAATTATTATTTTATTTAAATATTAGTTATTATTATTAAATATTTATTATTATTATTATTATTAAATATTTATTATTATTATTATTATTATTATTATTATTATTATTATTAGGGGTGTTAAATACCGCCATCCAAAATGATCAAAACTGCAACATATAGTGTGAATGGACAACCATACCCTTAGTACTTCACCACTATCTTCCCTCTTGCCACCAATCACCAACACCTTGACACCACTACCCCAATCGATGACTAACACCACCACTACATCGACGATTACCACCACCACCTCCCTGACTGGCGACCCACCACATCCCCCTCAAAAACGTCTCACCACCTTCCCTTTTTGGTGGAAAGGTGGTGGGTTTTATTTTTCTGGCAACCGTACCAATCGGAGCCCAAAACCGGGCTCCGGTTACCATGGAATTGGTTTAGGTGCACGGTAACCGAAGCCCAAAACCAGTTGTCGTGCATGGTAACCGGATCCCAAAAACAGTTACCGTGTGCGATAACCGGAGCCCAAAACCGATTACCGTCACAGTAATCGATTTTGGGCTCCGGTTGCCACGCATAGTAACCGGTTTTGGGCTCCGGTTACCGCGGTTGCCTGAAATAAAAAAAATTAAACCACCACCTTCTCGAGTTCTCGCCGGCGGCGAGGGGAGGTGGTGGGTCGTTATAGAGGAGGGTGTGGTGGGTCGCCAGTTAGGGTGGTGGTGGTCATCGCTGATCGGAAGGGGTTGTGGCCTGTGGGTTGCCGAGAGGATAAGGGGTGGTGAAGTAGTAAGGGTACGATTGTCCATTCACACCAAATGGTTGCAGTGTGATCATTTTTGTTGGCGGTGTTAAGCAATCCACTTTATTATTATTATTATTATTATTATTATTATTGTTGTTGTTGTTGTTGTTGTTATTATTATTATCAAACACATCAGGACAGATCTCAGTAGAGCAATGCAGATCTCAACAAAGCAGCTCAAAAGAACATGACCTAAAACAACCCTATATATATATATATATATATATATATATATATATATATATATATATATATATATATATATATATGACCTAAAACAACCAAATAAATAGCTATTATGCGCCTAGTTGTACTCGGGTTTTGATACCAAGATATGGTTCTAATTATACACCCTTCATTCCTATTTATATGCAATGAATTGATAACTTTGACAATATACACATAATACATATTTAGCTATAAATATACACAATGTATAATTGTACTCTCTTCATTCCATAATATAGCGACAATTATCCTTTTCATTCTTTCATGAAAATGAAGAGTAAGGCTTGTAGGGATAGTGAAAGGAGTGTGTTATATTCTTAATTTAACAGTAGAGGATTGTGAATTATTGTTGGATTATCGACATATGTTTTTCAACAAGTAAATTGTTGTTGGATTTATCTCAATATATGATTTTCAAATAACAATTCCTTTTTAATACAAGTAGTTTTTATTAAAAACATACATATATTTATAGTCAATCATGTATTAATGCGTGTATCAATCAAACTGTTGCAATATTTAAACACATAATAACATTGTTTATTTCAAATTAGATCTAAACTAACTACATTTAATTAGATTTTATAATTTATATTCATTTCCTTTTCACCCTCAAGAAAATACCAAATGGGGGGTTTGACATTAGTCATCCTTAAATTTCCCTTGACTTATTGTAAGAATTAGTGCTGGGCTCCCATTACTGGGCTTTGGCCTGGCTAATTTATCTGACCAAGGACAATTAGTCAATTAGTAAATTTTTTAATATAAAATCATTCACCAACTTTTGGCTTTAGTGCTTCCCTAGCAAATTGAAAGTTCCCCTTGTGTAAATTTATGTGTTATCCAAAAATATATCATGTACCTTAAAAAAAAAAAAAAAGGTTATGTACGTACAACGCAGTACATGAAAAATCCCAAAAAGTGTAACTTCTTACGTCTAGCTAAACAACCACTCTAATGTACATTAAGGTTGAAACGCTTTACACTATCCTCTCTAAACCGGACAAAGGACCAATAACGAGTTACTCGTACATAATTTCCTACCACCACATTACGTAAGAACACAAACGATTTATGTTATCCGACCCCCACGCGATGAAAGACGTACAAGCCTAAAAGTGGACCAAAAAATTGGATTGACCACATGAGCATTACATTAGCAAAGTGAACATTACCGTATGATATGTACAAGTACTACTGTTAGTAGTCCTATAAGAGAACATAGTGTCCAATGCCACCTCAAGTAGACAAGTACGTGACAGGCAAGCTTATCCATCCCACGTGCAATTTGTGTATCTTTCTACCATTCACTCTATCATTGCTACTTCCTTGTGCTACAATAACATGGACCCTTGATGTTTACATTATTTATGACTATTAGTAGTATCATTTGTTCATTCAAGTGTATGCTAAGTCATGCTTTCACACTCTTCACTAGTAACGTACATTTGAGGTGTCAATTGATCCTTTTAATTTGGATTAGAGTTAAGGTGAAGTTCTTTCCCATTAAAGTTATTAGTTGTGTCGTGTGTAGTGTATGTTATATTTTTAGTTCGAGTTTGATTGAGTCGATTTAACTTAGGTCTCTTTAGATTTGATTAATTCAAACTCATAGTATTTTGGGTCTATTAAGAATGGGTCAAGTTAATGTGATTACCAGGATCATATGAGTAAATATCAAGCTCTTAGAGCATCTTTAGTGGTATATATAAATACTAGTAAAAGATTTGCATGCTTTATTTACAAATTTCTAGCAAGTAACTTACCAATTGGGTGGGAAAAATATATGTAGATGGAAAAATGAACCCGCTCAAACAAGATACATAACTAGCATTAATTAAAATTAAAAGAAATAATTTTTATCATATATTGTATGCAAGTTACAAGGTATTGTAACCGATCATTGTAATTTATGCCTTTAAAGCATTAAAATTCGAAAATTATTTTACGAGCAAACCAAAATATATTGTCTTGTATCTCTCAAACAAACACCTCCAAAAAAATAAATTTACTTTAATCCTTTTTTTTTTTTTTTTTTTTTTGTAATAGAATCCTGAAAAATGAAATGCGTGTGGGCCTTGTGATGTGGCTTATGGGTTTACACTTTATATTAATACCACAATATTCAAGAGCCCAATGCTGTTCCTTCCACATATTTTCCTTGTACATTTAACCTCTTTGAATAATATTGGATACATAAAATATTGATATATTTTGGAATACTATTTTAGTGAAACTTATGATTGTAAATTTTGTTTTCACTCTCATCTTTTGTCGCTCTATAGAAAAAAATGTGGATAATTTTGTTTTCACATGCATTGATGGAGTTGCTAAATCCAGTCCTATATGACTAGTGCCCAACTTAACCTGAATTACTACATTAGACCTGATATATCAAATGCTGACTCGAGTCAATAAGCACCTGAACCAATATTGACTCGATTTACTATTCAATTAACGGTTTAAAGCCGAGACTACGACATGAGTTTCTAGTCAAACCACCACCATTAAGTTTTGTTAGAGGTGAGCGAAGAAGGTAGAAGAGATAGATAAAGTAATTACGAGAAAGTGGGACATTAGAGTACTAGCGAGTAACTAGGAAAGCAGTGGGTCGTGAAGTCGAAAAAGATACTTTGCTAGTTGCAGTAACGGTGTGGTCTATTCACCTTAACTAAAAAGTTTAATAAGTTCATACAAGTTAACTGCTAAGAAGGGCAAAAGGCTATTACTTCTAAATAAAAAGACTAGAGGCATCAATTGTGACACGATTTTATTTTGTTTGACACGAGTTTTAATTAAATTTGTAAAGGATGAAAAGAACACAACCTAAATAATCCCTACTTATAATTAAAACAACAAGCACTAAATGTGACAGGACCAATCATTCTGAGACAGGAAAACGCTGTACAAATCTAATTCTGACGAAATCCGAGTTGTCTTTCCAATTGCCAAATAGAAACGGATTTCCTGTCGTTCCACAAGCAACGTGGATAGGTGACCACAACATCCTCCAAAAACAAAACATTCATGCCACTAAAAGAGAGTTACTTTGTTACAACATCCTAAGTTCCTCAATGTTTCTGCAACTCAGAACAGTACAACTACTACTGTTCCGAGTTATGACCCACCTGCCTCACCAAGATCCGACCTCTACTTCCAATAATATCATGTCACAGAAAGATAGGCTTGGTCAGCAATTTCTGAGGGGTCTGCCTCGGATATCTGATGCAAAACGTACGTAAAAGAAAGGCTACATTTACAAACTGCTAAAACCAATCATGTTATACCATATGCTTCATCAGCTGCAATGCAAAGAGAAAGGAAAATCTTGCACGGAAATTATCATCAAACCCTTTTGAGTGATTCGTGTACACTATATGTTAGCACCCTTCATTTCTAGTACCTGTGTCGAATCCTCAACACTCTTTGACATACATAATCTTGGATAGACATCATTACAAAAAAAAAAAAAAAAAAAAACAGAATAAGACAGCTGGGTAACCCATGGCCATGACTGACACTATAGTCCCAAGTCAGGTAACATTAGCACGCACATATTTGAATGTTTTTGGCAAAACAGAAAATTACCATAAATTGTGTTTAAATCATGGAAGCAATCTCAGTTCCTTACATAATATCATCACATTCACAAAAACAGGATGAAGCACACGATAAGGTGCTGTTAATCCACCCTTGATATTAATAGGTAAGGAAGTGAATGTCAGCTAATCACAAAGATTTAAGAAAGAAGACAGCTATACATTTGGTCAGCTAAAATAAGCAGCTTAATCAAAGGTTTACAAAATAAAAGCTGCATCAGATGTTACCTAGAAATTTATAAAACCATGCCCGTCATAGAGATGAATCAAAAGGTTGCTCGAACATAATGGCACCTCCATCTTTAGTCAGTCATCTTGCCTAATCCCCAAGCACTAAAGCTATCTTGTGATCCAAATTCCTAGTCAAATCAAAAGTTATTATAAGAGAAACTAACATTATCATATAAAACAAAATTAGAATTAAACAGGAAAATGACCATGGCCTAAAATTACCAGCTGGCTTAATCTGAAATCAGGTGGTGTATCTAAATCTATGTTTGCAGGATCAAGTTCCAAATTCTGGCACTCCTCCAGATCCTTCTTTAGATCTTCAGGTCCCAAACGAGCATACTCTGAAGAAAGAACAGATCTCTTCCTTACATCATCTGCACTTTCATCTCTGTTCGGAGACTGGCTTTGAAGAAGCTCATCACAGAGAGAGAGCCCTTCCACAAGTTGCTGGGAGTTCAGCAGATACTGTGACTCACTGTCCCACCACTTTTCTTCCCCAACCTGGTTGTCATCGTGTTCGCCAACTGGATCCTCTGAAGAGATATCAGCGCAATCTTCTTTGGTATCATTAACACTTGATGATATGGTTATTTCATGTTGTTGCATTTCATCAACAAATCCCACGTCACATTCCTGCAAAGTGATTATAATATCAAATTATCAATGCAGTCTTCTTTCAAGCATGATAATAAATACACAACAGAAAAGCAACTTTGGAGCTGAATCATGGTATGGCAAAGCTGTTAGCAGCCAACTAAGCGATCACTGATAACTATACAAATCACATAAAACAGTTGGTGACACATCTCAGTAGCAATATATGTCTTGCACTTCCAGAATATATAATATAGAATCGTGTCAATTATATTGTGCTGCTTACAGTAACTGACTAACTGCTCAATTTTGCACAAGACTGCTTCAAAAAAAATTAAGCTTAGAAATTGTCACTTCTTGACTCAGCATTCTCTGAGTGTTAAATATATAAAGCTGAGGGAGCTAGACCCACAGCTATACCATCACAGTACCAATGGTGTTATGAAAATATCGAAAAAATGACAATGTAAGAGCTAATAGATGTAGATACTACAACATGTGGCAGTTTACTTATAAATTATGATGACCTGCAATATCAGAAAAGCATCTATCGCACAAGTAAAATATTATCAGATGCACAGCATTGACAAGAGTGCATAAGATTGCATAGATTGCCAGAAAGGAAGATATTAAACACTACCTGGGCACTAGAATTGCCGCAAATGACTAAGGTCTGATTTTTTGAGTGAAGTCGCATTTCATTTCGAGGAGGCTCAGGAGTAACAGGATCTACTTTTGGAACTATGTCATCTGCCACATCAGAAATATACCCTACAGTCTTGACACTTTGTTTCACCTGCTGCTGCTGCTGCTGATAGAAGACTTTTGAAATCACATATGCTCCATCTTTCTCATCCTCCTCTGTACCTAGGTGATATTGATGCATGACCCAACTTGTTTTCTCTGCCTTGCCACCTTTTGCAGTGACGTACAAAACCATGATTTTCTTGCATCCCTTTTGCTCCCCATTAACATTAACTGGCTTTGTCCGGCCAGTCTTATGCCAACGAACATCACCTAAATCATCACCATGAATTTTTCGACGCTTTCGTGTACCCGTACTGTAAGCCTTGATAGCTCTATGAAAGAAGTGAGTTGCATTTCCGTCTTGCTTTACACCTTCAATATCAATTATTATCTGTAGTAAATTAACTTGCAGAATCCAAGAAGGTATTACAATTTATAAGTTGCAACTAACCTGGGAGATTTTTAGGATGAGTGTAACAAATCCCATCCTCTTCATCAACAGTAGGGATGAACTCATCAATAAAAGGATGTGGTTTCTCGTTTCCAATGCCAGATTTTGCAATTAAATGCTGGATTATCTCCTGGTCAGTGGGATCAAATTTTACACCTCTTGGTAATCCTGGCCACTCCTGAACAACCTGAGAACAAGAAAAATAAAAAGGCATGTCCAATCTGTAAAAAGCTAATATAAAAAGTAGAATAAATTCCAAGAACAGACTAAATTACACAAATCATCATGAGGTTACAGGCTTATCTATACACAAAATTTCAAAAGAGGGGATAACAAGTTGCAAGTCAAGTCACTGACAAGCAAAATATGCAGGCAGTTTAATGAGCTATTGCAATTTAGTACATTACTATTCAATAAATAAGGAACAACGAACCATTGATCCTAGTTCAAATAGACATCGAATTTTGTGAATGTTCAACATTTTCAATTCTTAGCTTCATATAATTTGTTCAGTTCAATGTGTTTCTGTTCGTGTGGTCTACTAGTAATATCTGATTATGGAGGACAAAACAAAGTAGAATTAACAAAGCATGGTCTTTGATCATCAGTTGACAAAACTAGCATAGTGTAAGCTAAAAGCTTCACTGGGATGGGAAGAAATAAAACACAGGTCATCAAACCAGGTTGGATGGAGGATATATAACATAACAGCCTTCATACTCCAGGCTGTAGTATATTATCTAAATAGATGTGTCATGTTGGTGCTAACTGCTAAGGTTGCAGATAGCCCAAAGTTATGGAGTTATAACATCTATTCTTCATGATATTAGGGGCAGATCAGACCTCGCTAAGAAGGGCTCAGAGGCAATGGCAAGAGAACAGAGTCCGAGAGGGCGAGAGGTACTGATAAACCAAGGAATGATCCTTATGCTGATAAACCAAGGAATGATCCTTATCACCAATACATAAAGATTTACATTTCTTTAGAACACTTGAATCTAATCTAGGAAAGCTTCATTTAAAAAATAAAATAAAATAAATATATGATTTTCTGTCATTCTCCAACATACTACTGAGTATAAGCACGGAACTTTCTATTGTCTAGGCCATTATAATGCTCTGATATGGCAGCAATGCTTCAGTCACCCTATACAAATAGCCACCTCCCCACCTCTTCATTTGCACAACTTATTCTCCTTCATTAATCCAATTCATTAAATGCCCCCACCACCACTTACTATTATGTTCCCCTCTCTGCCTTCAAATTGTATATAGATAGACTAGCAAAACCAAACTTATCTACCTGTTTCCCCATCAAATAAAGGAAGAGTTAATGCCAAATTATCACTCTTCTTTAAACACAGTTTTACCCCAAACTGTCACAATAATTCCTCAAACATTCTAGATTATTCTGATATACACCTAGTGAACTAACTAGTTTAAATGGAAGCATTAAAGGGTGTAAAGGTGTGAGTAAAAAAATTAATAAATAAATAAATAAACTGAGAGAGAAATCCCAGTTACTGAGTAAAGATAGAATCCATACGATCTTTTGAAGTGAAAAGATCTGAGCAGAAATTTAGATGAATATCACGGGATTCAAAGGGTTGCAATTATTTGAAGAAGACACAAATGTACTATGATAGCAAGCAAGAGATACTGCAATGTTGAGTGAAAAAAGCCTGTTTCTCATATTTCAGTATACTCAAGCAGAAATCACCTTGAGGAGACAGAATGAAAGGAGGCCTTCCAGATCTTACCTCAATTTATCTGAAAATGAGATACATCAGCCATTTTCTTTTCAGAATCTGTTCATCTCACTGGAGACTGGGTGAAGGGCTAGAAAGCCAGGGGGGTGAAACAAAGAAAAACATGGGTTTCTTTCAAGATATATGTTGTAAGACTGGGTGAAGAGCGAAACAGGCAGGGAGATGAAAGAAAATGTGTCGCTTTAGAGCTGTGTTGTGAGACTCAAAGCTTACGCCCTCTTCACACAACATTTTACTCATATGACTAGGACTTTTGGACTGCCAAAGCACAAATGAGAGAGGGCAGTGGTTGAGCCAAAATGGAAAGGTGGGAGGAGGGGAACTTCAATATAAGTTGACACCATAACTTGTAGCAATGTTCAAGTTACACGGGCACTTTTATAGACTGAAATTCAGACTTGTATATTATATGGATAATAATATGAAAGCTTGGAAATTAGTTTATAATGGCAGAATTCGGATACAAAAAGATAGATTAATAGCTTAAGGCTATCAATCACTTGATAACTTTAGGTTATCACTCTCCTAGTAACTTGAGGTTACTACTCTCAACATTTTTCCTCACAATTCACATGATATCTTACTGCATATACTATCCTCCCTATTTATTCTAAGGTCAATGAGTCAAGGACTACTAACCTAAAAGTATTAGACTTCTCAAAATGTCCTCCCTAATGTTGGTCTATTACAGGCCCAAAGTACAAGCCAAGTGTTACACAACCCACAAGAGTTGCCATGAAACATACTTTTAAGTGCGGCATAAATCAAAATTCACTCTGAAAACTTGCACGAACTACATGTCTTACATACTATATACTAATGAAATGAAACATAAAGCAAACTCAGTTGGGGATTCAAGGGCCATATCCTACAAAAGTTTTCTGCAGAACCCAAGTTCAATCTCATATGTAATTTTTTAACTTGCAATTCATACATGTAAAAGCTACATACCAAAATAATCAAGGAACAAATAAAAATTCTCATTTCTTAACGAATACAAAATTTCACAAACACTTGTCAGCATGAGAATGTAACACAAAACTAAAGCATATGAAACTAAAGAAAGAGGCAGAAACAAAAGATCTTTCATGCTAAGCAGATATGCAAAGCCTCATACATGTAGCTAGCCCCATAGCTTATGGTAAATGGTGGAAAAAGCTCAAACAAAAAAATTAGATATAACTGAGAATGTGTATTCATCTTCGCCCACCAAAAAATATTAGAGGATATGTATTTTAAAATTGTAATTTCATATCTAGCAGTAATGCTATGAAATAAAACTAAAAATGTAAAGGTAGAATGTAGTACATCATTGTTGTCAATAGTATGCTCGCATCTGGGGCACGATCTAGTTGGGTTACTTTTCCACTTAATTTTTTCTACATCACAGCTTCCAGATGCACACTTTATTTTGGTTGCAAATCTGTTGCCGTCTACCAGCCATGAACGTCTGCAATGTTCAAATAATTAGAACTTGTAAAGACAGGACTACAACGCATGCCCACTTCATGAGGATTTTACAGCAAGGAACCTCAAGCTGATTCTTCCCACCATAACATATAGTGGCGAAGCCAGGATTTTTACGATGGTAGGGCACCGTACCATCTACAACCCTTTTATCAACGCCTTTAAATTCTTTTTTCAAAAAAAAAAAACAGACACATTTGTAAAAGAATGTTCATAATATCAAGACTCAAAATTACTACACAATCGTATTTGTCAAACCTTTATTATTCAAAAAACACATCAAATAATACCCCTATTCAAGGCTTTAAACAATAACCTCGTATTTTTTTAGATCTTTTATAATAGGTTTGGAATCAGATAGATTTTTCGTATCAAATAGGATGATCCAAAATACTAATTATAAGGATTTATAACTAATAATTCAAGTATACTCATACATGTAAAAAAATGTCAAAATTAAAGTTGACTTGTTTTCAAGTTTCGAAAGCATATTATAATATCATCAATTTCACTATCTTAGGTAGAAAAGTAATCTTGCCCAATGTGATCAAACTTTTATGTTGTTAAGTTTTTGTGTTATTTAGGAAATTGGATAAATAAGACATTAAGAAAAAAGGAAAAAAAAAATGTTGGACAAGAGATTAGAACCCAAGACCTTTGATTGATAAGGTAATGCTCTAACCACTAGGCTACTAGTAAGCTCTAACATAATAATGCACTTTGTATTCTATCTAAACAAAATTTTGACTATTTTTTTTTTATATAAAAAAAAACCTGGTAGAGCACGTGCCCTGCCAGGACACAACGTGGCTCCGCCACTGATAAAATCATCCAGGGATGGCAAAGCATCCAATATGCATACAACAATACAGCTTTATTTTGATGTTTATGAAAGACCAACATAGCCAGATAATACCATACACAATTACACCAATGTATGACACAAGGTTTCAAATCAATGAAATATTACTAGTAAAACCATAATAAGCCTTGGTGAGTCATACACAATTTTCAAACCATTCACAGTCCATTTGGTAACCAGTTATAAACAATGGTAATGCAGTAATGGGAATTAATTTGCATTTATATGTGAAAAGAAAATGAATGTTCGTTCCCAAGATCATTCAAGATAACCCCCAAATTGTCTATGTTCCTTCATAAATTTCCGTTTTCATCTAATACCACCTCCCAAGTGGTAATTGAAAAACATGAAGAAAACACAAGTTTGGGGGGTTGAGATGTGTTCCCATGGAGATTATAGGTTGATTTCCATACTGAAGTACACTTAAAATTCAATCCATTACCGCAATTTATTACCGGCAACCAAATGCGTTGTCAAAATTTACAACTTTTTGGGCTAACTAGAAGGCTAATTGGTCTACATCAGTACTTCTACCACCCTTTGTTGTTAGACACTATAAGGTGACAATGTTCTGATTGAAGCACACAATTTAACCATAGAAAAAATGTACTAAACCATCAATCTACAAATATTACAGAACAGAGAATATAATCCAGATCTACCAATTGACAATACCAGTTTACTAAATGTCTCAAATTAAAAATAAAATAAAATAAATGATTTTAGCCTATATCTGGAATGTGACATTCATCTGTTACATTAAGAGCATATTTGGATAATAACAGAATCACCAAAGCATTTTCATTATAGGATGTTTAGTTTGAAGGGTATGGAAACAGTTTCCCAGCTTTCTCTCTCATTTGAGTCCATTGCAATACCAAACAATCCAAAAGTAATTGTTATCATTATCCTTTCCCTCTGATTCGATTTGATTCTATTCTATTCTATTCTGATTCCAGATTCCTTCAAAGTTCAAACATATCAAAACACACAAAGGGATTTTATAAGCAACATCAGGTGCCCCCATCCCTTAGCAATTAGCACAGTATCATAGCTAGTAAAGTTCTACCAAATCTTGTCAGGCAGGACTAACATAGTTACATGTGTTAATAATTACCCACATGGAAACAAGTAGGCCAAAAAGAAAACAATTGTAATGATATACTACCCAGGAAATGCAATAAGATATTAAGATGTACTTCAGAACCAGATATGATTTATGAAACCACAAATCTTGGAAGCAGTAAAGAGATAAAATCAGATCCCAATTGAACAAAAGCGATAGTGGGTGATAAATAGAAAGAAAAAGGGAGATATAAAACATGTTATTTTATTCTACCTTATGAGGCACGGCGCGTGGGGGGGGGGGGATGGGAGTAGGTTAATGCAGAAGCACAAAGATCAGCAAGGATTCAATATAGTATTAGTTTCTGCTCTAAGAGCGCCAGCTCTTGCTTAGAAGTCATGTTATAATAGTAATGTCACTAAACATTTGGATATAGACAATCAGGCTCTTTGCATATTATTTCTAAATTCCCATGGGCTCCCAAAGATATAATTCAAGATAAAATGGATTTCTTCCCCCCAACCCAAAACACAAATAATTCACTAGAACATTTCAAACTCAATTTTGATAGCTAGGTCCCATTACTGCCCAGGAATCACCTTGAATAAAGCTTGGGACCCCGACACCCTCGAAGTTGAAGCCTTGGTCCTTCAGAAAGGTATTAAAGGGGACCTTCTCCTCATCATCAACTACATAACCACTGAAGTTCTGGATATGTGTTATCAATTCCATCTAATGTCAGCAAAAATCTACCATTGTTTTGAATTTTGATACCTATGAACCTATCTAAAAGCACATTGCTTTAAAAAGGGTAACCAAGCATTTGATTAATGGTGAATCTTGGCCACAACAACCGACCATATTTTATCAGTTTCCTCTTGTAATGCTGTGTTTTCTCTTAGTCATAGGTACTAGTAGAGTTAGTCTGGTTTTCTTTCCATGTCAAAACAAAACATCTCCAAGAGCAATTGTGGATGGGCAAGAAATTTTTTGTGCTTGTTTGATTGAACATGGCAAGAAGATGTAGTTTCCATGTATTTTTATTTCCTAGAAATTGCTAGTTTGTTGTTTGAATGTTGGTTTAAAACAAATTTTTTTTACTTCCCATGGGAAGTTCCACTAACCTAGGGAATCTAGGTTTGTACTTCCTCCGAAAAATAAGTTCACATTGGGCAAGTTTAGGAAATAAGGTCTGATCACTATTAATAAGGGCTATCCAAGTTCAATATATAACTAAAATAAGGTTTAAAAATAGCCTTTCTATTTTTGAAAGAAAAAGAAGAAGAATTGAAGCCTTTGGGTCCCTTTTTTTTGTAAGTTAAAATAAGTTCAGATAAGAAACAATCAAGTGAAGAACAAACCCTTTTAGTGGGAAGTAAAACTGCCTTTGAAGTGTAACTTCCCATGATTTCAGCAACCGACCAACTCCACCCTTTACCAGACTACCACTTCCAAGTAGTTTAACTTCCCATGATTTTATTGTCAACCCAACAAGCCTTATGTATACATGCATCATAATTCCTTTACAATATCACACACAAATTCATAATCATAACCACAAATCAATGTCACCGATCAAACAAGTCACCAATATCAGAATTTTAAACAGCAAACTTCTCCTAACCCACTTCAACTCAACCAATACAAAGATTATCATAGTATTGGCTGCTTTCTGCTAGAAATTGAGCATTAATCAATAATGAAAGCAATTTCACAGCTATAGACAAAATGGAAACCAACTCCCAAAGAAATTAATAAATAAATTTTTTTATAAAAAAAAAAAAAAAAAAAAAAAAAAATACTTAAATTAGAAATTTTTCAAACTTTATAACATGATCAACAGAATAATAACCCACTTAATAGTCTAAATGTCTGCTTTAATTTATGTTACAAATTTTCAATCGGACTTAGAAGATTTAAACAATGATGCACCCACCAAAATAGGGCGAAAAAATTCATCAATAAGCAATAAATCAAGCATACAAGATAAATTATAACAATAAATGGGTATAAATTGTTACTATGATTATGAAAAATAAAAATCAAGTCTTTAAATTTAACACCCAGAAAAGAGAGAGAAAGATTACCCAGACATGATGATGAAAGAGTTGAGCGATGAAGATGATGATGAATGCGCTTCAATGTCTTTTGTACTTGAAAAGCAAATTCAAAAGTGGTGTATTTCTAGTGTGTTTCTACTAGGTTTTTTCATTCACACTGTAATTATTGTACTTTTTATTTGGGTTTTTATTTGCTAATTATTGTTTCCATAATACTGTACTCATCAATGTCATTTCCGTGTTTTTAATTTTTGAAAATGTGGCTTTATATGTTGGACTTGAGTAGTGGACATGTGATAACGAGTGATACAGAGTAGAATATAGTCAAATTGGAGATGGAGATTTCTTTATCCTATCTTTTACTCTTAGAGGGATTTTTTCCTATATACTCGAGTTAAGTTGACCCATGATAGGTTTTGGTCCTATAAAGCGACTTTTTGGCTTCTCCTTATTTATATATATATATATATAGGAAAATTTGTAATTATTAATCCCAACTTTGGGCGATTTAGTTTCATTAATCCCAACTATCAATTATTCTTAAATAATCCCAACTTTGGGGGGCGTCTTCTTTTATCAGGTCAAAAAACAGGTGACCTGTTTAAAAGGTTTTTTTTTTTCCTTAAATGCCACATGTTGCAATTTCATTGGTCAAAAAAATTAGAAAAAAAAACCCAACCAAAACCCCTCCCAATTCCGGCCACCAGCGAAATCCCAAACAACCACCCAAAACCACCATCCGCACTAATCGCGACCTTTTAAACCACCCAAAACCACCAACTGCACCAACCGCGACCCTTAAAACCACCAACCGCACCAACCGCGACCCTTAAAACCACCAACCGCGACCCATAAAAACACCCAAAACCACTAGCCGCACCAACCGCGACCTCGACCCCCATTACCACCAGCAGCGCGAATCCCTCTCCCCCTTTCGCCGTTGATTCCCCATCCCCTTTGCGCCGGTGATTCCCCCTCCCCTTTCGCCGCTGATTCCCCCTCCCCCTCCCTCTGTTTCTCGCGACTTGGGGTTTTGGAGGCTGCGATTTTAGGGTTTCGGTGGCTGGGTTTTCGGTGGTTTTCGGTGGGGTTCAGTGGTTTTCGGTGGGGTTCGGTGGTTTTCGGCTGGGTTTCGGTGGTTTTTGGCTGGGTTTGATGGTTTTCGGTGGGGAGTTGGTGATTTTCAGGTGGCTGCTAGGGAGGAGGTGGTGGGGCTGCGTGGGATGAAGGGAGGATTTTATTTTTTTTAAACTTTGGTTTTTTTTTGGACAAATTAAGTGTTGACACGTGTCCAATAACCTGGTATAACAGGTGATTGACTTTCGTTGACCGGTTTTGGCCTGATAAAAGAAGACGCCCCCCAAAGTTGGGATTATTTAAGAATAATCGATAGTTGGGATTAATGAAAGTAAATCGCCTAAAGTTGGGATTAATAATTACAAATTTTCCTATACGTAGCTTTATAAATATAGTTGGATCGAAAGAGTAATGTGATAAAGAGGTTTGCAAAAACTAAAATAAAGTAAAAGTGAGCCGGTATTTTTAAAACATCTCAAAACAAGAAGTGAGTTGAACTTTTAGGAATTGCTAGGCAGCTAACGCGTGCGTCGCGTGTGCTATAGCTAGCCATGTGCGAAGAGCCGAAGAGCACTTTTGATTTGACCTTATGTCACCTATTTAGTTGTTGCCAACATTAAGAGCACTCACATCAGTGAGCAAAAAAAAATTGTGCATTCTCTCTCTAGCCACTTTCTCTCTCTCCACACCCATGAGCATTTTTGGTGAGCAAATTTTATCTCACTAGTGATAAAAAAAATGCTCATCATTCTATCTCCTACTTTTTCACATACCCCACCAACATTTCTCTCTCTTACACATCACCATATTATTATTAAATTATGTTTTGGTTAATAACATTTTAGTGCTACTAAATTACAATTATACAATTATTAATTAATAATTACAATTTTAGTGAATTTTGAAACAATACCAAAATATGTCAAAATGGATCTCTATTGGTAAGGGAAAAAAAATTATAACCGCTGGTATTTTTTTTTTATTACAAGTCGGCCAAAATAGCTGTTTAGAGTTAATACCTTTTTAAAACGGTAACAAAAATCTGATTGGGTGAAGAGGGCTGACAGGGACGCGTGTCAGCTCCCCAATGGCTAGTCTGACGCGCCCTGTCAGCGGCTTTCCTTAATTTTTTTTGCTTCTTAGCCATCCAAAACGACGTGTTTTGGTGTTAAGGTGTTGTGGGTGCTTCCCAAAACTCGTCATTTTGGGTGTCAGAAGCAAAAGAAAATGGCGCCACTTTAAAGGAGTTGTGGGGCCCCACTTTTACTGTTCACCTTTAATTTTGCTCATCATATGAGCAAATTCTAAAATGCTCATGAGCATTTTATACTTTGCTCATTGATGTAGTAACTTTTTACCTATTTTTGCTCATCAATTTTGCTCATGAGCTAAAAAATGCTCACTGATGTGAGTGCTCTAACAAGGGAAAATATGTTTAAAAAAATAGGTGTTTATGTCAAAAAAAAAAATAGGAGTTTAGCATACTATTCTTAAGAATAAAAAAAATGAGGCAACCAACATTAATGAGGGTAAATAAGTAAATAAACATTATAAAGGATATAAATTGTTCAAACAATATTCATTATAGAAGAGTGTATTCCTGCTACTACTCCTATGTCAACAGGTCTCAAGTCGTCAACTAAAGATGGTGATTTGCTGTATAAGCCTGACCCATAAAGAAGATTGGTTGGGAGAATGTTATACTTGGAATTACAAGACCTGATCTCTCTTATGCTATAAAACATTTGGCCAATCCATGCATGCTTCAAGAACTCCACATCTTAGGGCTGCTTTAAATGTGATAAAATACCTGAAAGGTACTATGAACTCAGGTTTATGGTACTCTGCAGACTCATACTTGACAATCAAGCTGACAGCGATGCAGATTGGGGGTGGTTGTCAATCCGGTAACAGGTCACTAAGTGCTTATTCTGTTTTTCTTGGATCTAATTTAGTGTCTTGGAAGACAAAAAAGCAATGTTCTGTAAGCAAATCAAATTATCAGTAGAAGCAGAATATAGAAGCATGTCTGTGATAGCAAGTGAATTAGGGTGGATTCATGGGTTACATACTTGAACATTTGAAAGTTCAAGTTTAGTTGCCTATTACACTTTATTGTGATAATACTTCATTAGAACATCTTGCTCAAAATCCCATGTATCATGAGAGGACAAAATATTTGAAGAGGAATATGCATTATGTTAGAGAACAAGTTGAAGAAGGCTTCTTGCAAACTGCTCATGTTTCTTTTGACAAGCATGTTGCAGATATTCTCACAAAACCATTGTGTTCAGCTCATCACAACTTATTGTATTCCCAATCTTGGACGGTTAGATCACTGTCCATCTTGAAGGGGGAGAATCAGATTTATTACATTTATTATTTATTAAGTTAGTTAGTTGTTGTAACTAACTCATGTATTAATAGTGTTCTCCTCTCATTATTAGAGTTGGAAGAATCATTTCTATATTTTACATAAATAAGATCTTCTCTCTATTTTATCATTTCCTCTTTTCTATAACTATCTCCTATAATAGTAATAGAAGGACGTGTAATAAATAAATATGACAAAACAATAACCATATTACAATAAATTGTAGGCGAATTAACTAGCACTAGGTGAAAAAATGAAATTGGCACCGCCCTAAGGGCACCTGTTCTTAAGAACCGGTGGGGAAAAAAAGGGGGAAAATAGGTGGGGAGAGTATTGCCACCTATTCAAATTAAACCGGTGGGAAAAACATTAATCCTACCGGTTTTGAACCGGTAGCCTTGTTAAAAAAAAGTCAGCCTTTTTTTATGTAAAGCCCACCCATTTTCTTCCTTCCTATATATAAGCCCCTTTTCCCAAACCCTAACCCTTTCATCTTCTCTCTCCTCCCTCATTCTCTCTTCACTCGTCTCCTCTGATCTCACTCCTTCGAAAATAATTCCTCTGATCTCTCCAAATTTCGCTCCTCCACTCCTCTAATCTCGCTCCTCCTTCATTCTCTCTTCTCTCGTCCCCTCCTCCCTCCTCTTCACCTCTCTCGACCACCAACCGCCGCCGCCACCACTGAATTTCGCCGCAACAACACCAAATTTGAGGGGTTCAGGTCACTTTTATTTATTTATTTTTTGTTATTTTTGGTGGAATTCGTGGTTGTGGTGGTGCTTTTTGTGGTGGTTGTAGTTATGGTGGTGGGTGGGTCTAATTATTCAAGGTTATTAGGGTTTAATTTATGAGTTTAATTCGATTTTAATCGATTTTGTGATTTTCTGAATTTTTGAATCGAAATTTCTGGGTTTTGTGATTTTAATCGATTTTGTGATTTTAATTCGATTTTTATTTGATTTTAATTCCTTTTGGGTTTAATTCGATCTCCTTCTTGGTTCAATTCGATTTTAATTCTGGGTTTTTTTTTTCTTTTCTGAGATCTAAATCAATTTTTGGGTTTTTTTTTACTGGGTTATTAACGTAATTTTTGGGTTTTGTTTTTATTTTTGTGGGTTTTTTTTTTTTTATTTTCGCAGCTTCTGGAATTCTGGGTACATGCATAGTCTGGGTTTTTTTTGCAGCTTATGTATTTTAGTGGATTTATTTTTTTTAATTGATGCAGGTACGTATATTGATTTACATGTTAAATCGAAGAATCAAGATGCAAGAGTTGTATGGGTTTTTGTTATTTTGATGTTGTAATTTTTTTTTGATTTATATTGTATTTTTTTTTGGATTTATATTGTAATTTTTTTATTTATTTATGTGTTGTAATTGATCTATATTGTAATTTTTTTTATTATATATTGTAAAGTTTTCGATTAAATTGACTGATATTCGAGTTATATATTGATGTTCTTATTAATTTTAGTCTATTTAATTTTTAAGTGGAATGAAAAAAATTATGTTTTTGGGCACTTTTGGCACCGGTTACCGGTGCCAAAAACAATGAATAAATTTTTTTGGGTCATTTTTTGGCACCGGTTAACCGGTGCCAATAACCATTTTTGCCACCGGTTTGAACCGGTGGCTTTTCATCCAAGTAAATGGCACCCCTCACATTGGCACCGGTTCAAAACCGGTGGCATTGAGGGGTTTTGAACCGGTGCCAATTTCATTTTTTCACCTAGTGTAGTAGCTCATCGTCATGGAGTGACGCAATGACTTTAGAGACAATGAGTTTTTCAAACAAGATTAGTACAAGAATTGTCTATTAGTTGAACTTTCATAATAAGACCATGTTCTTTTAAGCTTCTGCAGAGTATATCAGATTTCAGCAGAGTAGATCGAGCAGAGAAAGTGTCGGTAGAGGAGAACAGATTATTAATACTCAGCACAGCAGAACAAACTACAACAACTCAAAAGAATAGGGCCAAAGTCTAGCTATATCATACTTTTTTCTAAACACCAAAAAAAAAATATTGTTGTCAAAAGAATAGGGCCAAAGTCTAGCTATATCTTTTTCTCTTTTCATCCAAAAAAAAAAAAAAATTGCTATCACCAATTCTTATGCTATTGATATCACATTTTATTACAGATACTACTAAATTAGCTCCTGTGCGATACACGGATATAATAAAAATAATTTATAATTCTATACATGCATTTTCAAGTCATATTATCACTCAAAATATGTAAAACCCTTGTATATATTAATCAACACCAAACTACAAAAATTAAAATGGTACTCTGTATAATGAAAAAAAAAAATCATGTTTACAACAAAATCCAGTGGAAATTTGTAATTAGATGGAGTAATAGCATATATACAGGGTTGATATATGTTTTCCTTAAGATTAGCTATATGTAACTTAAGATAAAAGTATTTTACAGTCAATATATAGCTTTTCCAAAATATATAAAAATTAAATAAAAATAAAATAAATAAAGAAAATTGGAAGAGAGAAAAAATTTTAGGTGGGAAAAAAATTTAAGGAGAAGCTAACACGTGTACAATTTTTTTTAAAAAAATGATGTCAGAGGTTGTTATTTTTGTATTAACTACGTTAGTCCCATGCAATGCACAGTTTTATCAAAATATACAACGATAAATATATCATCTTTAGCTATATTGAGGACAATCAATTTTTTCTGTTTATTTAGGGAAAAAAAGCCTAATTTCCCGTGATTAGCAAATTTGTACAATTATACAATAGTCTGTAGAAGCATCTACTCCGTATTTGATATCTATTTTTTTTAAAAATAGTGTAGTCATTATTTATAATCCAATTTTAAAAGTAATTTAAGGAAGTAGCTTAGCTTTAAAAAATGATGATGTCATTAATGCATTTAGGTGGGAAAAATTTTCATAAAAAAGTGATATGTATACAGCTTTGGAGAAGGATGATGTCAACGGTTTCTATTTTAGTTATAATTATAGATTATAAATTATAGATTATAGATCGTTGGTATTACCACTGGTGGTAGACACTTAAAAATATTCTTACCCTTATCCATGCAAATAAGCAAATGAGTATAGTGAAACGTAATTAGACTGATTGTGTGAATGAGCAAAAGAAATGTTAAATCACAGCCCTTTAGGTGGCCCATTTGAATTAACACACATTTTAGTCAAAAAGAGGAGCAACTAAGAAAAGCCCAAGATCACAAGGGTGTGTTCATGGACTGACTTAAAAAAGCCCATATCAAGCTAACTTGGGCTAGTAATGGGCCTGAACTGTAATCGTATTTAACTGTAATCATAAATTTAAGAGTAGAAACTGAAATGGTTGAACACTGACGTCAGCATTGGTGGCCGAAAATCAACGACCACTTATAAACTTAATAGCAACTTTGGCAATAATAATTATAAGTTGTTGATGTTGGCCTCCACATTTCACGATTCATTAGAGACATGAGACATGTTATAATCACTTGGTCAACCATTTATCGATCACTTTCTGTAGCTATGATGACCTCTTTATCAAATGTACAACATAATGTGGTTGGATCACTATTCATTTTACTTTCAATTTTAGATATTTAAAGCTAGGCCTAATTAAGCGACACGTGGACCGTTATGAGTCAGATGAAAATGCGATTATAAACCGATTTAACGTCAAAATGGCTTTCTGTGTGTGATTCCACAAACCAATTTTTGAATAAAAACATTATGTAAAAACATTGGTTATGGGATGGAACTTTGTTCCATACTATAGCTGGATAAGGTATAAATTAAAATCATGATAAATGTAAAATCTTTATTGAATTTGTCTTCCATTAACATGTTGACTAATTTAAGGTCATAATGGTCGGTTTGGAACAATAGGCAACTTGGTAGGCTAGACCTTGGCATGACCCAATTGATCCAACCATGTTCCATGACATCGAGCCTCTGATTAATTTAATCATTTAAATATTTATGATAAACATATGAGCATGTTGTAGTCTTGCATGATCTTCGACTCACAAAAATGCTTGTATTAAACCTAAAATGTTGATGATATGATGGATTGTCGCTTAGAGCAGCTTCAATGGTTGTAGTTAGGGACTTGCTTGCAATATTAAATAATCCCTAACTACTAGCTTAACCTTTGGAGTTAGAAAATGCAATTAGGTTGGTCAAGCTAATTTGCTTGGATAAAAACTTGCTAAAATAAAATTATTATAATAAATAAAATGAAATTTATCAACATAAATTAAGCATGTGTGGTCCATTTAAATAGTAAGCTATTAGCTAGTCATTGGAGCTAAAATGACAATTAACTAGCTTAAAAGCTTATGTGGCATGACAAACTAATTTGACAATTAGCTTACCATTGAAGTTGCTCTTACCACATTTTCTTTATTATAATCATTTTTTTTTTCAAATTCAATGTTGATCGCTTCTCTAATTTTTTTTTTGTTGAAATTAATATGTTTTTTTAAACATATATTAACATTATTTTTACTTAATAAAACCGATTTTTACATATTAATACTTATTCATTGATTAATAAAACTCTTAACACCATATTTTTGTTGATTGCAATCAACTTATTTCTATTAATGAAAACTTAAATTTACTGAACAAACTTATAGTATATTTACAAGTTATTATCAAAATAAAATAAGGCCGGGTTTAATTGATTTTTAAATATATATTAAGAAGTAAACTATGCATCCATAGCCCTAACCACCTCCTATCATCCAAAAAGAAGTATATTATATACATATATATTCTACTAATCATCCACAACTAAATTCCAAAAGTAAGATCCAAACACAACCAAAGACAAAATCAAAGACATAAAACAAATCAAAGGAACAAAAGAGAGAAAGATATATTGAGAAAGATAGAAGAGGGGGGGGGGGGGGTGGGGAGACCACCAAGAAAACTACTACAGTACTAGTTATAAAATGACATCTGCCTCTATCAATTTCAGCACACTAGTTTCTTCTGATATAACACATACAACCTTAGTGAGACAATTTGGTAGCTTACATAAGCATCTTACAAATATCATAATGTTTTTATTTTTATAAATACTATATATTATAAGTGTTGCAAAATATATAAAAATATGACATAGTTTTGTGAACAAATTCACCTACATCACCATTACATATATGATGATGATGATGTCTAATCCCATTCTCTTTCAACAAACCCCACTACATTACAACCATTTTTACTTCCAACTTTATTTTTTTCTATATACATATTGTGTATATATATATTTCCAAGCTGCCTGAAATAAATAATATTGCAAATATTATTCAATTTATTTCTATTTAAGGAATTTATGTAAGGTACCTCTCTTCACGAAAAAGATTTCCTTCCTTTTTTTTTTTTTTTTTTTTTGGTTCTTCTAACAACCTCGCTCTCATACTGAACTAGTACTTTTTTTTCCTACTGAACAAAGCATAGTGTAAGTGTAAACTACAAAATGTCATCATTCTAAATTGTCTTCAAATTCTGATACATATAAATATATATGCATGGAAAGTATTATATGATGAATATAATGTAACACTCATAAGAAAAACCCAATTCAAGCCATATGATCATATATCTCTTGTCATCAGAGAAAATCCGAAATCGCGGTACATTGATTGTAATAACAACGAGAAGAAGTAGAAGATCAGGATCAGAAGACGCTAATTAATTAAACCACACCCATGCAAACCAAATTAAATACCCAAAAAAAAAAAAAAAAAAAGGAAGCAACTAAATTAACACCCATGCAAGGTAATTTAAATTAAGGCCATCTTTGTTAGTATAAAATATTTCAAAGAGACCCGTTGTTAAATATAATCGTACTAATAAATAGTTATTATAGTACGTAATATATCATTTAAGTTAAGAGATTGTAATGTTTGCAGTCCTTTGTCTCTTAGGATTACCCGAAGTAGACTCATCACCACCACCGGACTTCTCCATAACCGCCTTCAACGCCTCTTGTATCGAGCTTATCGAGCATTGGCCAGGCGGTCCATCCTCGTCGTGGTCATCTTGGTTGTTGTCATTATTGTCATGGTCACTTATATTAGGCTCATGTGTGACAAATAGTACGTTCTTAACCCTTCCACCTAGGGTAGTAATCTCCGCCTTCAAGGTCCTTAACCTAAGCGTTTTTAAGGCTTTGATTAAATCCGGTAATAAATCAGTACGATCATCACAACACAACGATGCCTTAATAATGAACTTCCCATCTTGTTCATCCGATGCTGGATCCACCGTGAGCTCGTCGCTCTCTGTAGGGACTACACTCGTCTCGGCTATTATCGACGTCTGCCTCCTTAGCTCCTTCACGTGTTGGATCACTTCCGCTAGCAACGACGCCTTGTCCGTCTAATAATATATAAGAGCACAAGCAACAACAACAATCAAAAGAAAATAAAGTTTAGAAGAATTTTAATTTTATG